GGCTAACGTTGCTGCCCGGCTGCTGTTGGAGTTGCTGGAGGGCTGTGCCAGACACACCAGCAGCATCGTTCGCAGGCCAAAGCAAGGCTGGCTCACCAAGCATGCGAGAAGCCACAAGCTGGGCCAGCATGACCGGCCAAGCCAGCTGGCTCTAGCTGAAAACCAGGGGAAATCATTCATTGCCCCAACCTGCAGAGAGTTCAGGCCCAAAGCAGGCTGGAGGAGTCTGCCCCGTGATGGCTTTAAGGCTCAGAGTTACTCTTATCCCTTCCCTGTGCCCCGGCCCCTCACCTGCATCTGCAAAAAAACCCCAAAACAGCAAGAAAAAAAGGCTGGAGAAAGTTGCTTTTTTTTTTCTCTTGATGGCTCTGCTTTCTCTGTGCACCATCCTCACTGTTTTTTTCCTGGGGCTCTGCAAACTTGTGCTTTCCTCTATCACTTTTTAATGATGCTCCAAAGATACTGATGGGCTTTTTCCTCTCCTTCCCTGCCCCGCAGCTTGCACGCTACACCAAGGAGGGATTCCTTCATCTCGGCGCCCTCGGGACCACGACTCTTCTACCCGATACCCGCTGCCTGGTGGATAACGTGAAAAGCCGCTTCCCTCAGCTCCTCGATTGCGAAAAGGTCAAGAGCAGCCTCCATAAGCGCTGGAATTTCATACAGGTTTGTTACGGGTCTGCCATCGATGCTGCTCCTCTGCTCCCCAAACCGTGGGCTGTGGCACATCGTCTTCGGCGAAGTGTGGGACGAAGACGAAATGGTCCCATGCAACAGCGGGTTCCAGGTCCTAGGGCAGAGGGAAAAGGTTAAGAGGGATCAGGGTCAGGGACAGTATTTTAGGACAATTTCCAGTAGAAGTTTCAATTTCTGATATCCTCAGGTGTATGTAACCTGCCCTGCCGATGACTTCCAGATTTCTTTGTTTCTTACAGATAATCTATGGTGAAATACATGAAAACATGATCCTTCTGTCCCAAAGCAGAGTGTAAATAATACACATTCTACAGAAGTGTCACATCTTCCTAACGCAGGGGTGCAGCCGTGCTATTTAAAGGTTACAGATGTCCTTCAGTTGCTGACGTGTTAGGGATCTGCGTTGTCAGTGATAAAGGTTGCTCATTCAATTCACATTGATTATTTTAACAATTATGTTATTGTTTGAATTGCGTTACCACCCAGCTAAGGGCTGTGCGCTTTCCAGCAGTGCCCAAGGACACAGCTGCACTCCTGGACAGCGCACGGTCCTGGCTTGCTTCACAGGCAACCCCATGTCTTCAATTTTTTTAATATTTTCCCCATATCCTTTAATTTCAGAATGGTGCCATCCTGAACAAGGGAACAGGACGATGCTTGGAAGTGGAGAACAGGGGAATGGCCGGCATTGATCTGATTCTTCGCAGCTGCACAGGACAAAGGTGGACAATTAAAAATTTCATCAAGTAAAGGGGTGGAAGAGTCAGAGGAGTTTGACTCGAAACGTGGCTGACTTGGACTGATCCAACTGGACTCCTTTGGAAAGGACGAAATATCAAAACAGAGCTTTATTCATGTTATTAGGAGAGGACATGGGGGAAATTGGCATTGGTGTCTTTTTATTTTTATTGTATATTAGTCACCCACAGCTGATTCCAACTGTGTGAAATTGGGTCAGAACTGCTATTTTCTTCTGGCAAGCACTCTAAAAGGTACCACTTATTTCTGCTGGAATGACTGTAATGCAGTCTTGTGAGCATTTTACTGACAGGGAATTGTTGCTTTCCCAGATGACTCCAAGTTCTCCCAAAGGGCCAGGTAGGTTTGCACCACAATCAGAGTTGAGAGACTCTGGATATACCTGCCTGGCAAGCATGAAAACTTACGTGCTTGTCAGAGGAAAAGGTTGCCAAGCCCCAAATGAGGTGAGTTGAAAGACGTGGTGTTTTGCTAGGTCCTCTCTCTCTTTTCCCCTTCTTGCCCCTGCATCCAGCAGCCCCTTTCTGCAGTGTGGGAGAGGCAAAGCCCTCAGAGACACCCCGGCAGCTCCCGTGAATCACAGATATCATTAGACAAAATCCTATTGAATAAAACCACTGATGTCCCATTGCCCCTTCTCCATCGCCCACGCGCTGCTGCACAAGCCAGCCCATGCAGCACCAGTCCCTCCCATGGAGACCCCAGACAGGTTCCCCTTGGAAAAGACCTCGGGTGTATGCCTGCCTGTTTGGGCAGTTGCCTGCCCTTTTGGGTTTCGGTCGGACTCATGTGTGGCGAGGAGGGCTTGCGGGATGCTTCCTTCCCTACAGGAGCCTGGGGAGCTGCAGATCCACCTTGCCCTCCCAGCAGAGCTGCTGGCCTGGCACTGTCCCCTTAGAGACCCACCTTTACCCTTTTTTTGCTCTTTTCTTGTAGAAATGAGATGGCTGTGCTGGTGCGTGCAACAGGCTGAGAGTACGTTACGCAAGAGAAAGCCCCGCTCGGGCTTCCCTACCGTGGAGGCTATAGGGTTTGTTTTTAAGGCATTCTTGCTCTGAATGAAGACCTTAATAAGGTGGTCTCCATAACTTTGTAGTGGTGTAGTTCTCTTCCTGAGGCTCAAGCGCACCTATCCTACCTGGTCAGCGTGAGACTGTGGTCAAGGTCCACCCCGAACAGCGTGCGTTGCTGCAGTCCTTCATGGGCGGTGGTGAAGTGAGGAAGGGAGAGGGAGGGCAAGAGACCAATAAATGGCAGTTTGGCTGAAATTCTTGACCTTGAAGTCACTTGTTAATACGGTGGGGCGATCTCACCTGCTTTTTTTGGCCCACAGTAATCTCGGCTACCAAACCTACCCGGCCGTCATGGGAGACCGTTGGTTTGGGGTCCTGATGTCTGGCTAACTGGCAAAGGGAAACGTGGTCTTGCAAAGTTGTTTCACATGGATGCTAGACTAATGGGTGGATACAGGCTTCGCTCGGTGGAGAGGAGAAGCCAGCCCATCTCCTGTCCTTCTCATGGAATAATACTCTTTCTGGTTGCCCTCTGGCTAGGGTGCACTAAAATATATTAATATATGAGATGTACGTGTAAATATGTTTCCCAAAGACGGGATGTGCACAGAGTTGTTTGCTGCAGAGCACTCATGCCTGTCTTCCATTTGCATCAGGATGAAGCTACCTGGATGTTTAATGAGTATAATTTTCAATGCCATGCAGCAGGTTTATAACTGATGTTTTAGTAATTTATTGAACAGAAGCAGATATATTTCATTGTTCCTTCTACAGCAATGAGCATCACATAGGACTGATTGTTCATTTAGGCTTGACAAGACTTCCTCATCCATTGGGGTTGTCTCTGATTTTTTTCCCTTGCCTTCCTTAACGAAGTAAAACCTCTTAGTTGTCCTGAATTGCAAAGTAGGGAGTCAATGTAGAATTTTGCTCTCTTATTCGCTGTTGCATCATCTCTTGTGTAATAAATTTTAGCACTTACAAAACCAACATGATCACAATGTCTTTAGATGCATGATGTGTTTCCCCTTGCATTTGTTGCTGCCTTCTAAGAAAAGCGATTTACTGATGAAGTGGCCTCCAGGAAAGTCTGGGGGATTTGGGACTTCACAGCTAATGGTCAAAACGGTAAAATGCCCTTTAATTGAGCAATCAGTTCACTGTCAGTCATCAGTGGAAGCCACATATTGTTTAGTGTTGGGAAGAGCCTGCATGTTTCAGGATAAACAACCAAAAAGCCCTTGGATGTTGCCTGTGCTATAATTCACGGTTCCCAGTTCAGCTCTCGTCCTGCCAGCGCTCAGGGCGCCGACAGATGGGCTTTGTCAGATTTAATCGTGGCGGTACAAGGCGTCCCCTCCCTCAGCCTTCCATCTGCTTCCGCTGCTGGAGGTGTCTGTCCCCGGCAGCAGAAACGAATGTGCGGCTGCACCTCGGCTACCGTAATTCAGAGGACGTGCTTCAGCCACCGGGCAGGAGGGACTTGCTCTGTTTAACGCACTGGATTGTCAGCCGAAGTCACCCTGGGACGGCCACGCGGCTCCGCTCGGGAGGCAGCAGCCCCTGGCTGAAGCGGGGTGCACCACCGAGCATCTCCAGCTGCCTGGTGGCCTTTGTGCTGCCTCTTGGAGGTGATGTACGGCCGCTTGGGAGCTTGTCAGGCGACGCAAGACGACCTGGCGATGGGGATCCTGTTGGTGATGGGCTTTTTTGATCCTTTTAAAAAATTAAGGTTCAGATACGTGTTTCCTTCATGCTCCGTAAAGAAAGCAAATGCCTGAATATCCAAAAGGAAGGGGATGGTGGAAATGAACACTTTGCTCCAGGACCCTCAGGTGGGGCAGAAATCTTGTTGAGGTGGTTTGCCTGTTCTCACTGGTGTACTTTAAAATGCTTTAAAATGACTGAGAAGAAGCAGCATGAGTAAAATCAGGATTAAAAGCGAGAATTTAATCTGCTGTGTCCGCGTAACTGAAGTTCTGTCCTGACATTGGTTTGTGACATGCAGAGATGATTGCCGAGGCGACGACCCGAGGTCCGCACCCTCCTAAACTGTAGAAATCTGTCTTAGAAATCTGGATCTAAATGTTGCATCTTGCGCTTATCTCTAATAATATGTTAATTGCTTTAAAAAGTGATATCGAAGTGGTTCTTATTAAATATATTATTTGAGCCTTGCCTCTTGAGTGATTTTAAAAAGATTCACTGCTGATGAGATACCGAGGCAGTCATTCTTCTCTGTAACTTATTTAATAGAAAAGTGCTGCTGTTTTAATGGAACTTCCATTTTAAAAAGAAATGGAAATGAAGGAGAAGTCAAGAGAGATGGGCAATGCAGATTAGCCTCCCGGTTCATCCATCCCTGCCGGCTGCCACTCACCAAGACAATGCAGTTACATTCAAGAAGCTGAAAAGAGACGTTACATGGTAAAAAAGCGGCGCTTCCAAATGCGGTCCTGTACCCAGCCCGGGTGTTTTTAAATGTAACCTGAAGCTTGGGGCACTCCTTAGACCCACTTTCTTACATCCATATTGTCCTAAAAAACAGGTTGGCCAGTCATGTGGTGTCCCTGTAAGGGCAGGGACAGGTATGTGGCCATGCAAGAGGGAAGTGTATCTGTGGGTGCTCCCTGATGGGAGCAGCAGCTCTCCCACCCGAGCTGAGGACACAGCAGGCTGTTAGCATGAGTCCAGGTAAGTGTAGCCCCCAACCTTGGGCCTCGTTGTGCAGAGCGTGGTAAATAGAGCTCCGTCATGGAGCGTCCCATTTGCAGCCCCAGCTCTCCTGAAGGATGACACAGGATGGAAACCTGTGTTGTTCTTGTGTGCATTTTAGACGCTCAAGACTTTCTAAGGGGAAAGGTCCATGTTAGAGAACGGTACGATCTGATGTGCTTTACGGCAGATTGAAGTCAACAGTGAGCTCTTTCGCTGTCAAAGCCCGTAGCAGGACCTTTGTGCTGCCCAGAGCAGAGAGCCAAACTTTCAGAAAGTTCCCTCTAAGCCCTCAAATGAAGTTAAACTGCTGTCATGTTGAAGTGAAAAGTTTAACTCATGGACTCCCAATAGAAAAGCCTCTGTGCTTGATCACTGAGCAATTTGGGCACTCATCCACTGCTAATAGATACAGATTTAAGCACTCCACTCTGCAGTGTGAAATTAGGCATTTTGAAATCTCCACAGCTCGCCTTTGCAGATGAGAAGCCGTCTAGCATTGGGTTGGGAAGTGGGAAAAGCGTATGTGACCATTATGAATCTCAGCTGGATTTCCAGGGACGTTGGGATGAAGTATTAAGGGCCCTTCCCTGTCACTGCCTAACCAAAGTAATCTGTAGGTGGTCCTTCAAGCATTAGAAAAACTTGGTGCCAGATTCAGGGGCATAAACCCTTCCAGCCCCAGCAGCCTAGTGCTGGAAAGGTGAGGGGTGAGCTCTTCTGAAAGGTGGGCTGATCCTGTGTGTCGGGAGGAGGTGGTTCCTGGCGTCACTGTTCTTATAAATCAAAAAATTCCCCAAATTATTAATAGCTTTAAATCTTCCTGCAAGCAGGAGCCACACAACACGCTGAAGCCAGTGCAGTTGCTCAGCTCATTCAGGTTTTCAGTGAAGTCGGTGCTGGTGGGACTGGGATCTCAGCTGTACCTTTTGCTTAGAAGCAAAGTGACGGCGTCCTTCTAGCAACACATTCAAAATAAAATAACATAGCAGAAATGACAAGCTTGAAATCCCACCTCAGCAGTCTCCACTTATCCAGGATATCTTGTTGAGAGCAAGTGGGTTAAGTGTCACATCCCACGGGGATTACTGTGATAAATACCTGCTGGTGTCTCAGCTGGGTGCAGCAGCTGGTGCCATCCATGGCTCCTCACCCCAGGGAGGTCTCACCTATGGGCTGAGGTAGGAATTTGTAGTGGTTTAACCCGGCAGGCAGCCAAACACCGCACAGCAGCTCGCTCCCCCTCCCCCCGCAGTGGGATGGGGGAGAGAATTGGAAAAAAAAGTAAAATTTGTGGATTGAGATAAAGACAGTTTAATAGAACAGAAAAGGAAGGGATGATACTACTACTACTACTACTAATAGTAATAACAATAATAATAATAGTGATAGAATATACAAAATGAGTGATGCACAATGCAATTGCTCACCACCTGCCGACCCAAGCAGCAATCGCGACTTCCTGGACCACACCTCTTATTTATATACTGAGCATGACATCATATGGTATGGAATACCCCATTGGCCGTGGGTCAGCTGTCCTGGCTGTGCTCCCTCCCAGTTTCTTGTGCACCTGGCAGAGCAGGGGAAGCTGAAAAGTCCTTGACCAGTGTTAGCACCACT